GAAGTTATGAGAAAAAATGTGCTTTGGGTGGATTTAAGTAGATTTTACTAGTTTGGCAGTATATGTTTCAGAATGTTATACATACAGCTCAGACTAGGATTTCAATTCTTAGCACACTACTGAGCCAAAGCAAAGTTGATCTCTTACTAAGGCACCCACTATTCTGCAGATGATCCCTGTATTTAATAATGAAATAATCAATTATGTCATTATTGTTAGTCCTCTGCAGGGTTAGGGTATAATCCAAAATTCTTCCTTCCCAAGTACTGGTAAAAGTCAAGTCAGAGAATAAGAATAATAATACTTGCTTGGGCTTTCATTAAAAGAATATTAAAAAAAAATAAATAGGGGTATCTTCTCAAAGAAAGGGGCACACAGTCCCAAGGGCAGAGAAAAATCAAGGTAGTTAGGAATAAAGTAATTTTCCTTGCACTGGAGTCTTTGGACATAAGTGACCTCCAAGACACAGAATGAAAATTTAGGGAGAGGGAATTAATGGTGAGGAGACAGGAAGAACACATATTTATGGCTCAGGGCAAGAACTTTCGAAGACTCAGGATTTTGCTGATGAGATGTAAAAAGGACAGGAGAATATCCATACCATTTATTTAAAGCACTGGCTAATGATTTGCTAGGGGGCAGTCTGAAATGCCATCTGATGGCTCTCTTCTCTCCCTCCCCCGTTTTGGATATCTGAAAGCACACCACTTGCTGCTAGGGAGGTGTCTTTGGGCTTGCCACGAGGAAATCATTGTAAGTGTCCATTTCTTTTCCCCTCTCAGGACAAAAGGATGTGACTGACTTCTCCAACAATGCCACAAATTCCCTGTGACTTTTTGTGAATAATGTCAAATTCAGACTGGGGTTTCTGCTATGTGGTAGCTGTACCTTCCATACATTTTGCCCTCACATGCCCCCTTCCCACAGAGAACCACCAGGAATTATGGAAGTGCTGCTGCTCCTCTTGGCACACAGAAAACTTCAGGTGTCCCTGAGCTTGTGCTTGGCTGGGGCAGTTGTGGGAACACAGCTGATGAACAAGACAGAGCCCCACACTGTGGGCTCTAAAGGCAAGCTTGCCTTTTCCTTTTTATTCCTCCTATTGTCACTGTTTCCTTTGACCTAGAGGGGCAGAACACATGGGTGCTTTTTGGGATAAGAGGAGTGCAGAGCAACTATTTTTCAGAGGTTTTGGGTGCTGACAGGTTGCATTTAAGTGACAAGCTGGCTGCTGGCCTCTGCTGGGCACAGAATTAGTGCTCCCTGTCCCTTTGCCTCTAGTGTGCTGCACAGCTGGGACTGCAGTGCAGGAGAAGAGAGTGAAACAGCAGAGAAAGTGGGAACATGAACAGGATTCCAGCACTTTGCTGCCAGCCCTCCTTGACCCCCACCAAAAGCCAGCCACCAGCACAGCACCTGAGCCATTGCTGCCGCACTGCAGGAAGCACAGACATCCTGTGGAATACTCTGAAAAGTGCCTGCAATTATATTTATACCTCCTAGGGGTGCAGTGGAAGTTTTAAAGTTTAAGGCTGAAAAGAATTCTTAACAGGTGTCAAATTTAGTGTCACCACACAGCTCCTCATGAGCCAAAAGACACATCCTTTTCAAGCTCTCCCAGGAAATTTGGCAGTTCCTATTATTACAGCCCCTGTCATTACCTTGAAAGAAAAATATATAGAGAGGGAAAACTGACATGCTGCCTGGAGGCTGCTGGTGCTCAGAAGGTTAAATCTTAGTGGCAAAGAAAAGAGGACAACCTGAGCACATCACCTGGCTGCCTGGTGCCATGGCCAGCTGTGCTTGTTAACATCTGCAACATGAATGAACTCATGGGGTTGGCTACGACAGCTCCATCTTTCCAATATTACCCAGCTTATTCTCTATATTCTTTGTGTAACAGCCACACATCTATTGTCAGGATGGACCCAAAGGATCTGCTCTCAGAGAAAGCATGAGGCAGGGCCTGGTCCCAGATGCTGTGTGGCTGCTTTGCCACCCCTGTGCAGCAAAAAGCCAATCTCATATTGCAGTCAGGCCACTCACTGCTGTTCACATCTTTGTTTTGGCATAGAAGGGATTTTTTTGCCTCTCTGACCTTCAAAGACCCTTTTTTGACACTGCTTCCTGTTGGTAAACTTTACCACAGCATTACCTTGACTGCAGATCACACTGTGTAGCTTTAGAGAGAAGAGGTGAGTGTTTACACCTCTCTGTCTCTTTTCCTGTTTCTCTGGGAATCACCTGTATATTTGGAAAAGGTACTGAAAAGTTCTAAATGCGTGCCTGTGCTTCCTGCCAAGAGAACAAATTCTCCTGTAAACTTGCCAGACCTTTCACAGCTGCATCCTCGGGATTTAACACTGTGCAGCTTATGGCTTTATATGAAATTTCTTAAAAGAGAAGGTCTGTATTTTCACATGAATATATTTATTTTGGGAAAGATCAAGAAGTGCTAATATATTTTAAACCAGTTCCCTGCAGCATTAAAACAGTGAAATATTCGTGTGAACATTTGCTAATCCTATACAATGAATCTATTCCTCTCTCTCTATTTAGCATGCAAGCTGCAGCTGCTGAAGGTTGTTGAGCCTTTTCATTAGGAAGAAATGTAAGGATGATGTATGAAAACCACATGGATATAAACTCAAGGAACAGTACAGAAGGGTATCAAGAACAAAACCTTGTAAGCTACCTTGTAAGCATGATTTCTCTTTCACATGTTTGTTCTTATATGGTCTTTCACTGCTTTAAAATGTAAATTTATATTTATGGACATAATTAGAAATGCTATATAATATGATCTCATAATGCAGAAAGAAGAATATAAGCACAGCAGCACACACATTTTCAGAATATATATCTCAGGCTCTCTAAATTCTGCAGGAGGTTGTACCACTCCAAGCAAATTCCAATTTCTCTGTTCAGCCATTATTCCTCCTAATGCAATGAGTTATTTTCTCACCAGTGCTAAGTTCTGCATATCCACCCAGATCCTCCTGTGGCCCAATATCTGACAAATAATCCCTTTCTTCATCTACCTGAACTCTGACAACTCGAGCAGGAAATCAAAAATGAGTGCCTATGATCCCTGATTCCACCAGGGGACAACATATGACCTTGGGATTTCATTTAAGCCTCCTGATGCTATGGATTCCCTAAGCATTAAGTGGAAATAGCATTTGCTTTCCTGAGAGATGCTAATATTTAAGTATTGCTTCAAAGATCCTCAGATAAAAATACCTATATATGTGCAAATTTTTATGCCTCCTTCTGCTTCCCTATAGCTCCAAGAGATAATAACACACTGAAAAGGCAAAATTGTCCTATGAAATAAAATTGTACTTGGAAATGTCAGGCCTGCACAGAGCAATGAGCCAGGAGTGGCTGAAGGCAGTGCATCAGAAGAATTTGTAACCCAGCCTCTCCGTGTGCCCAGTACCGTGACCAAGGAGAAACTCCCTTACCAGAATCAGCCATAACCACTTCCCCCTGTGCCAAGAGCTACACCCAGTACACAAACCCTGCCACAAGCAGTCTCTGAGGGCACTTGGGATGCATCCACCTTGGCTTGCAGAGCAGCAGTGGTGGGCAGGAAAAATGTGGGTGTGAGCTGTGCCACGTCACTTGGCGGTTGCACTGTGTTTGGCAATAAAGAGACAGACATTGAAATTCCCTAATGTCTTCCAATTTTTGTACTCAAACTTACAGGGATAAGGCTGAGAAGAGGATGATTTAACACCTTGACAAGCACCTGAGAACTCTAATAAATGGAAGAATTTCTTTGAAAGATTACAGGAAGGAATCCTACTCCCTTTTTTGCATAGAGATCCCTAACAGTAGAGTGCCAGAGATTTCAAGCAGAGCCAGCCTCAAGAGCCGGAATACGAGAGTATTTGGTAAATATTTGCCTTAAATACTCTTTGTAATATACAAAGCATATACATGTTTCATTAAAATTAATTTTTTTGTTGATCCTGTGAAATTCTTTATGTTGCTGCTATGTTAGCACAAAATTCAGCAATGTCCCCCCCAAAGTGGAACAGATTGAAATAATCCAAGTCTTCCCTGTTCTTAAAGTTTGTGTGAGCAGAGAGTGATTCCTCTGGATCTGCACAGTGTAACTTACTGGCTACTTTCTCCCCCACCACAGTCTTTGAACAAAGGCAAAAGCAAGAGTCCAAATTAAACATGTTTTGTATGTTTACCTGGCAGCCACATAACAAAAATCCTATTGCAGCAACTGTAAAATTTTGCTTCATACACATCACAAAAACCTACAGAAACCAGGCTGAGAGACCAGATACAGAATGAAAAAAAGGGTCAGGAGACTAGCTCATGTCTTCTCCTAAGCGCCAAACTGCAGATAGAAGTTTAGTAGTTTTTACATTTCACACAGATCCTGATTTAGGAATCAATGGTGGAGTCAAGCAGAAATACATATGCAAAGACACAATACATGCAATTAATTTAGTATTTCCGATCCCAGTAGAAACACAGTACCAGTAGCATCTCTAGAGATGGCACTTTTGTGGCCCAAGAGATCAATTAGTATGGGGATAAGCACCTATGCTTTTGGGTGCTAATAGGAGTCCTTCCACCAAAACATCAAATGTTCTTGTTCATCCCCTTTAGTTTTCCCATCAGTGTCCAAATTAATTTTTTTTAAGAAGCAGCTTCTGTACTAGGAAGGGTTGAGTTATGCTGACTCTCTATAACAAATGAAGCAACTCTTTCCTCGTTTTCCTGCTAATGAGGTTGAGTTTATCTCATTAATGTTTTTCAAAAGAAACAAGAAACAATTCAAATAAGAGCAACACAAAGTGTTTTTAAAGCAGTTTCTTGAAAAGTGAGTAATTCAATGTCTTGGATAAAATGAATGTGTAGGCAAGAAACGAAATGGATCGCAAGAACAACACGCTTTTCCTTTGCCAAAAATTAAATTAGGAGAAGGCTCCAGAGCTGAGAGAAAGCTTCCCTTGGCAGCTCCAAAGGCTTACCTTTGTGAGAAGACGTCTCGGTAGGGGCTGCCGTGCTGCAGGGCGATGCCGTACCCCCTGTCCGCCACGGTGTTGCCGACCGTGTAGAAGGAGCACTCGGCGTCGTTGATGGCCACGTACTCCAGCACCGCCGCGTCCCACACAAAGGCGTAGTTCCCGTGCTTCACCTGCGGCAAACACAGGGAAAGCTCAGGCTGTGGGTGGCCAGAAGGAGCTCGGTGCACCTGGAAATGGGGCAGTTTCAGCACAGTCTGCTCTCCAAGGGAAGGGAAGGGAAGGGAAGTTTGGGTGCCCAAATGCTGCCACGAAGGGCTTGGGCTGGAGCGCCTCGGCTGAAACTGAAGAATGTGACCTGAGAACAACGTGCCATCAGTGATGCAGTGCCATGGAGGAAATATGCACTGTCCCTTTTCCAAGAGCAAAGGAGACACCACAGTCCCTCCATCAACACTAAATTCCACATGAAATCCCCCATAAATGTCATAAAACAACCATTTGGAGGGAGGGTAGGTATTCCCACTGGGAGAAGCATGGCTATCCAGAGGGAAGACCACCGTTCAGGATGGTCCACATTTCAGTCATGCTCCAAATTGTGACAGACTTCACAAACACCCATTTGCCTTATGGGTTCTGTGGGTAAGATCACACCAAGTAGGTTTTTTGGGATTACTTTTCTCAGCATGAGGCATTTTCACATATCTTCAAAGATTTTCACAGAACAAGCTCATGTAAGCCATTTTAACTGTTTGACAAAGATAAATCCAACCAGCTCATTAGACTGAGAAAGCTTTTAAAATAACATTTCCCCATCCATTCACATTTGAAACAAATCCAGATTTAAAAAAAAAAAAATGTGATGTATACAAAATTTAGGCATTTATTCAGAAGCAAGCCTTTAAACCAGAAACTCAGTCTATACAAATAAATTAATTTCTGTTTTCCAGACATATAATGGTTTTTTCTGAAAAACAGTAATCTACAGGTGCTCTACCAGACCCAGATCTTTTGTTGGTTTTCTCTTGTCCTTGGTCTCTATGTCAGACCTGAAGAATCCCTCTACTTTTTTCCCTGCCCCTCTGCTTGGCTTCATTTAGCTTTTTCCCTGTGCTGTATTAGGCAACTAAGCTGTAAAGCTAGGCTGAATCCATTGACTTTGTACATCTAATGGGAATAAATGCGTGACAGCTAAGTGAAAAGTAAACAAAACACAAAAAGGCCATGTGGGGCCAGGCAATCCAGAGAGAATTCAAAACCAAGTCAGCATATCAAAGTAAGCAATGTCAGTACATCATTTAGATTAGGCTTTGACAATGTAGATTATGTTTTTAAAGACTGTTTACATATAAAAGTTACTGAAGCAAGCCACACCGTCTGCTTGCTCACAAGATGTAGTGCACAAGGAACGATTGCACTTGGGATGCATTCCTTTTTACTGCAGGCCTGGCAAGGGAATATTTCCTATTTCCATCTGTAGGCATGGCAGGGGGAGGATTTGTGCAGATTTTGGAGCAGAAAGGGAGCCATACTATCTGTGGACTCCACAGGACTTGCAGGATAAAGAAAATTCTTTTCAAAGTGCACAAACACACACACAAATAAATGCAGGACTGGGCCAGTTTTAATCTTCAGGCTCTGGAAATTGTTTTTCCTCTCCTCCCAGTGGAGGTTTCACTTTATCTAAACAGGCAGGCAATAAGGGATAGAAGTGAATTTGCAGCTAACAAACAATACAACCTGTATGCTTGTCCTATAGGTAGTGGCACTCACAGAGCTCTTCCTAGCATGGGTTGTTCTGATCTTCCTGCAGGCACCACTTGAGTAAGAAATAGCATGACTGAGAAAAAAGCCCTTCCTAGGAGAATTTAACAGGATAATGACTCGGCCTGAAAAAGGATCATGATGTGCAGAGAACAAGGGAGGGAAATAAGAGACAAAAGCAGAGGATCAGAAGTGGGCAAATTAATCCTGAAAAGGATCAAATGGACTTTCTGAACAAAAGAATTAAGGGAAAGTGGGGTTCAAAACCCAAGTAATTTTACATGTGGGACATAACCTTTGAGGTGATGGAAGGAGCAGAGGGTTATGTTTTGACATCCGCTTTTGTCCTAACCCGCCTTTTTATCATCCTAGTGCATTGAATTCACCTAAGTGCTTGTAAGGAGACCTATCAGCTGCTCAGCTGGTCAGGAAAAATTCTCTTGATTTAGCTGCCTTGCTATAAAACAACTCACAAAGAGAATATATAAAAGTGGTGAAAGCACTTACTGTCAATAATATCTGTGATGAAGTGGTTTATATAAGATCCTCAGAACAGAGCTCATAATATCACAGTTCAAGTTCCCACGAAGTTATTACTTTTCATAGATAACATCACAATGAGCCTCAGTTAAAGTGCATGGGGCACAGAAGATTGAAGAGCCAGAAGGGATCATTCCCATCACCTACCTTCAACACATGATTGCTCCATGCATTAAAACACATTCTTTTTAGCATTTTTGCCCTATTCACTTACAAATCTCAGGACTTCAAAACCATGGAGCAAACCTAAGTTGTAATTGTCATGCTTGCAATCCCTCTCTTTAGAGAACTACTTCTTGATCTAACATATTTCATTGCTATTCAGTGTATTTGGTCTTACTACCTTTTTTTTTTCAATATATAACTTTCCTATGTCATTCCTAGGTATTTTTGCTCTGCAGTTCTAAATACTCACTCACACTTTGAGGCTGACATCTTTCAATTATTGATGGATCTTTCTGTTACTCAGCTGAGCCGGATGGAGCTTTCTTTAATCTCTGCTTGCAAACCTATCAGTTCAGCCCTCCCAGTAGCAGTGACACTACTTTTGAACTGTCTCCAATTCTTAATTTTTATGCATGGGGAAAACACCTGTTTCACTAAGAGAGAATCAGTTATCTACCAGCTCTGGAGCTATAGGATTTCCTTCTTAGCATACTCTTCTTTTGAGACTTGGTCTAAATTCCTTGCCCAGGGATCCTTCACACAGCTCAAGACTGGCTTTAGCTTAAAGGACTAAGAATAAAATTTTGCCAGAGTATAGCATACCTGAAACACTGCTGATATTTCACAGATTTGCACTTACTCTATGGAAAGAGGAGATTATATTATCTGTAAAAGGACAAGAGAATTTCAGAACAAAATGTCAATTAAAAACTTTTATCCTTCTCTCTCTCTCTTACCATGGGAAGCACATATTTTGCAGCTCTTCAATAGATATGCAGAAGACTTCTACTATGGGCCTCAAAATCAACAGCAAAAATTCCAGCTCTGTACTATGAGAAAAAGTTAAGCAACTTACTTTCAGCCATATGTGGGAGCTAAATGAAAGCAGAATCTCCTTGGGAAAAAAACAAAAAAGGATCCTTGTGACACATTAACTCACTACTCTCATAAGAACTGCATCCCTGATTCTACATTTCCTCACCATTTTTTTGGCCTTTTGTGTAGAGAGAAGAACATTTCAGGACGGTGGCAGATCTGGATGCTGCTCACACATGGCCATGCAGCCCTGGACGGCCAGGGAGGAGTTTGTGGGAGGGCAGCACATTATCATTCTGCAGCGCCCCCAGCTCTTCAGTCCACTGGGGCATGGAGAAATGACACTTCACTCTCCTTCCCTGTGCCTTCCTGCCTGTCACTATGGCAGAGGCTAAAAACACTTTGAGTATCTGATATCTACTGTCATAGGATAAAAAAAACAACACCAACAAAACCAGGCAAAATTGAAACTGTGAGTTGTTCATCAGGGCATTTTGAACTCATGCACTGCAGAGGTCATTAAGTGAAACTGGGAGGTGTGGTACCACACAGAAATGCTTGACTTGACTTCATGGTCCTGTGAGCAATTCAGGAGGAGTTACTGTAAAAAGGGTTGTTTCACTGAACAGGAGTCATCAGCACATACATGTTAAAACTATTTCTATAGGGCTGTAATATTTCTATTTTCTATCACTGAACACTTAAAAAATTTTTTCTTTGCTGAAGCCCTGTCTGTAGAGATTAGCTAAAATTTATCCTGGATGATTCCACCAAAAGCCCATTGAATTATAAGAGGAAAACATTTAAAGCCATTACACTGTTGCATATGCACATATTTTATGCCAAGAGGGAAGAGGGATATGGATAGTATTTCTTGTTACAGCTAACCCACTCATGCACAGTAAGTTGAATAATGTATTTGTGTACAACTCTGGCATTCTAAAAGCACATTTCTAGGACTAGCAAATGCTAAATTTCAAAAAAAAAATTGTAAGTAAACAGCAACCAATTGCTGTAATTTATCATACTTGTATTCTTAGATAATATCTTTTCTGTATTTTGAATTCCTCTATAAAAGAAATACAAAGGATCCTCATGGACAACAACAAAAAAAAACCACACAAAACCCACAATAGATTGCAGGTTAAAAAGAAATGGCTGTTATTTTTCCTGCAGACCTCTTTTAAATATTTCATTGTACATAAAATGTGTTAACTGTTATAAAAACAATGAACTCCTAAGGCCAGGGAATATTCAGTTTAAACTGATTAAAAGGATATTAATTTTCTAGAAGAAAATCTGAAAGTTATTGGATAGTGCTGCTGAAGCCCATTTTCTGAGCACCCTGTGCCTACACTCCTGAGACACAGTGGTGGTGCTGTTTCCACTCCTTTCCATCATCAGTCAGGTGCCAGCTGCTGAACACCTTTCCCTGCCTAGGAAGTTGCCAGCTGCGGTATTTGCTGTATTTTAGCCAAAAACAGAAGCAGTCTCCTCTGCAGCATAGCAGCAGCAGCTCCAGCTCTGACCTAAACCCAATCAAGGACACTGGTTAATTACCTGCTCCCTACAGGAATTTGAGGGTTCTATTCTCCAGAATGGGCCATTCCACTGCAGTGACTACGGAGATGAAAAAGCACCATCCAGGGCTGCTAGCTAGACCTGTGCCCATCAGCGTGGAGCTGAGACTTTGGCATGTATAAACACAAAAATCACATTTTTGATACACTCTTGCCATGTTCAGCGACTGTGCAGCAGCTGCAGCCTGCAAAGGGCTGTGCTTCTCTCTACAGAACAGCTTTGCAAGGCTGTTGTTACACAAGGAATGAAGGAGAGGAGAGAAGATTGAATGAACATTTGCAAGTAGATGAGCGAGAGCTGGTATAGG